GCTGGTGGGGTATTTTGTTTGATCGCAGCCGCAAGCGGACAGCCGCGCGGCGTCGTGAAGTCATGCGAAGAGCGTTAGCCGGTGCACGGCTGGTGGGGTTACTTTTTGATTGGCGGCTCCAAGGAAGAGTCCAATAAGCGGGGCGGGCGCGTCTGGGGCACAGGGCGAGATAATTGGTTACGAAGGCGCCTCGGCCAACGTAACAGGTGCACCTGCAAAAGGCAAAATGCCCCTCATTACGCTGCGAGCCACCCGCGAACAGAAAAGCAAACACCAGACAGGAATAGACGGAGAGGAGTCGCACAGTGGCGCCAGCTCAAACCATCCAGTTCACAGAGCACAGGCTGGGGCAGGGCAGCCAAGTGGCAGGACAGTGGGCACGTGAGGCCGCACCGCTCACCACTGCGAGGCGAAAGAGGTGGGAAAGCGCGGGCAGAAGAGGGGTGGCCAGGTAAACCTCACTCACATGGACTCCTGGGCGCGATCCGACGTGAGCCAACGACCGTTGCACTGACGTCGAAACAGCCGCAGAGTCTGCACCTTGACTGCCAGACCCGGGGCGACGGGGGAAACGGCAGCAGGTGTGGCCGAGCACCATGGACCAACCCGTAGGAGAGCATGGGTACAGTCAAAAGATGAACCACTTGAGCAGTACCAGGAGCACGATGATGGCTCCCGCCCAGGGGTGAATCACGTTGTCGGCGAACAGCGCAGGCAGCTTACCCCGCACGGTGGACGGTGGGAGCAAGCGGCGTGCGTCAATCGGGGGCTGTGGTGGACCAGAAGGGGGGAACGTCGACAGACGAGCAAAGGGTGTACCACTTGCCGTACCGCATTCACTCCAGGTCCAGCCCCCGGTGGCGCCGGCTCGGCAGGTGCCCGGGCAGCCAGAGCAACACCAGGTGGCAGTGCGGCCCGCCCTCACCACGGAGCGCTGCGGGAGATCCGCCAGGTGGTGCATAGACCCGAATGCTCCACGAGCCTCGGTGGGGGGGAAGTCGCGCGTGGCCGAATCCACAGGAGGAGGAGGGGGAGAGGAAGAGACGCAGCCGATAGCCGCACAATCCAATGAATAAATGGAGGAGGAGGAGGAGGGGCGACGCCAAAGCTTATACTGCGAGACCTTGGCCACAGTGATCTCTCCACCACGCGATGTGGGACCTCGACCGTGGGGGGAACAGAGCGCCTGACCACTGCTGGGGAACGCTGTCCCTGCTCCAGGGCAGCATCGTCGGGGGGAAGCGCGTGAGGTGCAGAGCGAAAGAGGAGGAAGAGGCGGCACCGCTGGCGATGCTGTGTGGTTGGAGGCACCTCTGTGATCCCTCCGCCGCTCCCTGTGCAGTGGGGGGTCTTCAGTGGCCACGGGGGGAACAACGCCGGCCGAAGTCACCTCTGTGATCCCGTCACCGCAACCTGTGGAGGGCCGTCAGTGACCACAGGGGGGGGAACGACAGCCCGAGTCGGAGGCGCCGCTGCGGTCCCTCCACCGATCCCAGAGGAGGGTCTTCAGCGACCGCGGGGGGGGGAGCCACGCGCCAGACCACTGGCGGAGGACAGCGCTGACACTTCGTGGCGCCCTGGATCCCCGCTCCACAGGCCTCTGCCTTCCTGGTTGATGCACGTGCGTCCCGGACAACCAGAGAAACCACGCACCGAGAAGGCGGCCAGCGAGCCGAAGCGGCGGCCTCGGCGACGCGCGAGGGGGGAACGGGCAGCGCGTCGCCCAGCCCCGGGGGGCGGGAAGCCAGGAGAAGCGCGGGGCGCAGGCGCCCGTCTGGGGGAGTTGCCTCCGACGTAGTCGGGGTGTGCGTATCTTCCGCTCCCGGGGGGCCGGTCGTTCGTCTCCCACGCAGCGTGTTGCCTCCAATGGAGAAGCAGGGCACGTCCGACGACAGCCCGCCAAAACTAAGAGGGGGGAGGCCTGCGACACCCAATCGCGCTGCAGAGTACGGTGTACAACTCGTAGTCAACAGAGAAGGTGGACCACAGAGCAGAAAGCCGAACTGTCCACAGTATAGCCACACGCGCAGCACGCAGACAGAGGAGAAGTGCGCTGAGGCCGACGGTATAGCCACACACGCAGCACGTAGACAACAGCCAAGAAAAGGACGTAGAAGTTCTGCAAGAAGCAGGTGTCGAGACATTACCACGGTAGCAACTCGCAGGGATGCCACGAGGGGGTAGCAAGGCTACTGTGGGGAGACGGCCCACCACTGTCTGCAGTGCTTCCTGGGGGCCTGTTTGCACGGGTGGCCCTTTACCGCATGGTGGCCACTGCTCACACCGCCACTCGGACCCAGGCGCCGCTGCCAGGCCCGAGTCCAGTCGACGTCGAGGCCCAGCGCATCGCTGAGGACCCGTACGTCGCCCTTGTGGCTGCGGAAGGATTCCAGGAAGAGGTGGCAGGGTTGCGGGTCGTGCCGATTCGGGTCGAGCGCGCCCTTGCCGCCAGGCACCGACTGCCGCTTGGCGAAATCGTGCCAGGTGCCAATGAACATTGGCCCCAGTGTGACTTGGAGTCGTCGTATCGCCTCGCCGGGTGCCTCCCCGGGGAGGTCCCACTGGACGTTGTTGATTCCTGTTTTGTACAGCTGTTGTCCCGTGTCGGGGTCCTTGGGCTCTGTCTATTGACGCGGGTCGGGCCCTTGGTGCCGCCTTGTATCCCGGCCGCCAGTCTCCAACGTAACGGCCTCGTTGTCTTGGCTGGGGGGATCGCAATCAGCTCGCGACAGCTCTGGCTGCCCGCCTGGCAGAATTTGGCGGAGAAGTGCAGGCCGCATGGTTGGCCGCCAGGCTGGGGTCGGAACGCGTCCGGCGGCCAAGGCAGACTCGGCCTTGTGGCTGGCGGGGAGGGGTCCCTTTCGCTGGCGCTCGCCTTCGAGCCTGCGCCCGCTGTCGCTCCCAGGTGCGCCCCCTCTGGACAGCGCCTGATCCTCTCCGTTCTCTAGGGTACCACTGGTTGTGCCGAGGACGTGCGCGCGCTGCGGCACGACTTCCGCAGCCGGGGCGCGGGCTGCGTCGCCAGTGGTGCTCTGGGCGCCTAGCGAGGGCGCCTCGGGTTCGCCGTCCGCACGGAGCTCACTAACTGGGGAGGGGGGGCGAATAGGGGCAAAGCGGTTTCCCCCGACTAGCCAGCGGATGGCTTCGCTGTCCTGCGTCTGGATGGTTGTTCCGTGGTATCCCTGCTGGGTGTGTGGCGGCCCCAGAGGACTCCTGGCGCTCTGATTGCCCTGAGGGGGGTATTCCGCGACTTCCGCAGCATCCGCCGTCTCCGCCGTGACATCCCACTCCTTCCCTCTGTCCTGCTGGTACAGAGGACTGATGACCATTGCCCTTCTGTCAATGTCCGTTTCGTTCCTCGGCGTTACATTCGGCATGGGGGCACTGCCCCGAGTCGCATCAACCGAAGAACCGACAACAGGTTGGGGGGCGTGTCCACGCACAGTTGGACGAACGTCCTGAGCAGAAGTAGGAGGAGGAGGAGAGGAGGAGGAGAGGAGGAGGAGACGCAGCCGATAGCCGCAAAATCTGGTGAATTAAATAAAGGAGGATGAGGGAGGATTGGCCCTGTGTGTCTGCGCCGCTGGGGGGGATCTGTTCGCCTGTGTACTTGGCGGGGGAACGGTGTTGCCTCCTTCGATGGGTTCGGCTCGCCTCTCGTCGGGCAAGCCCTCGGACTGATTGTCCTGAGGGGGGTGCTCCGCGGCTTCCGCAGCCTCCGCTGCCTCCGCCGTGACTTCCCGCTCCTTTCCTGTGGGCTGCTGGTGCAGCTGGAGGGGGGGTCGTTCGTATGAGCAGTGCCCTGGTCACCGCAGGCTACCTCCTCTCAGTTCCCCGCTGGGACGTCGTCGTCCGACCACGATGCGGGGGGTGGTATCGTGACCTCTGCCTCTACCGCCTCTCGATTCCCCTCTGGGACGTCTCCGTCTGTCGACGCTACGGGGGGCGGCGCGCTGCCGCTGCTGCTGCGGCTATGCTCCGATGTGTCGTTGAGAGTGATCCCCGGGATGGTCGTCTGTCGTTTGGTGGTCGCCGTCGTGGTCGACGTCGTGGTCGTGCTCGTGGTCGTGGTCATCGTCGTCGTCGAGGCGACGGCGTCCGTGGAGGTCGTGGTCGTCGTCATCGTGGACGTGGTCGTGGTCGTCGCCGCGGTCGTGGTCGTGGTCGTCTTCGTAGCCGTCGTGGTCGTGGTCGTCGTCGACGTGGTCGCGAACGTGGACCTCAGCGAGGCCGAACGGGCCCCTATAGCCGACGGGCCCCTGCACGCACAGCTTGCTCTCGAGGGCGCGCAGCGGCGAATCCGTGTAGGTCGCCCAGTCGCCCCAGGCGGAGCCCGTGAGGTTGTCCTGGAAGAACGTCCCGATGATGGCCGTCATGGCCAGGCGGCCTTCGGCCAGCTCCGCGCTCAGGGACCGCTTGTCCTTCTCAGGGTCCTCGATGCCGTCCCCCTTGAACGCGCCGAGGGCCCCGAAGTACGACTTTCCGAAGCCCGCCTCGGTTCTGCAGAGCTTGCCCGGAGGATCCGCGGGGTCCTGCCTGGCCGCGTGCTCGAGGGAGCCGTAGAACAGGAACATTTGACCCCAGTCGGCACCAGACACCTTGCCCGGAGCGCTCAGGCCATTCGGAAGACTCGCAAAGGCAGGCCCCCCGAGGACGACACCTCCCGGATACAGGAAGAAATCCTGCACGATGTACCCTATGGCGGCCCACATGGCGACGCGGTCGTGCTTGACCTCGGTGCGCCTCCTCCTGTAGAGGGCGCCCGCACCGACGTCCTTCGCAAGGCCGAGCGGGTCCCAGTAGCCGACGGGCGCTGTGGGTCCCACTCGCTCTCGAAAGCGCGCAGCGGTGAATCCGTGTAGGTCGCCCAGTCGCCCCAGGCGGAACCCGTGGGGCCGTCCTGGAAGAACATCCGTGTAAGGTGTGTGTGTGTGTGTGTGTGTGTGTGTGTGTGTGTGTGTGTGTGTGTGTGTGTGTGTGTGTGTGTGTGTGTGTGTGTGCGTGTGTGTGTGTGTGTGCGTGTGAACAGGCTCGCGGGAGCCAACGCCATGGAGCTGGAGAGCACCTTCTGCAAGAAGAGCCGTGGGCCAGCGCGGGCCCCGCGGTGTCCGGGGGCCTCCGTTCCCGCCTGGGCCGCTGTGCACCCGACGGGTTGCCCCGCGCAGGAAGCGCGATGAAGAGCGCAGAAGACCGACGAGAGGATGAGGAGGGCCATGCACGCGATGAGGAAGAAGCCCAGCATAGCACTGATCAAATAAATGCGGTTGAAGATCCCGAGCGTTGCCCCCAGCGCCAGGAGAAAGCAGGCGACCATCCAATGAGACGCCACAAAATACATCTCCGTCCGCGTGCGCAGCAACACTCCAGACCCAAGAAAAACTGCGCGATGAACTCGCAGAGGCCCGCCAGGAAGACCACCTCGAAGAAGTCCGGGCCGTGCTCCAAACCGGCGCCCCTGAGAAGGGCAGTGCCCACGAATACATAATTGTGCAAGCACACCATGCCCGTGCCCATGCAGCGGATGAGTATGCGGAAGAGAAGCTGCATGAGGAACACGCCGAAGGCCACCAGGAAGACGTTCCTGACAGGGACCTCATCGATAACAAACCCGGCCTCGTCAAGAAGAGCGGCACAACCAACCGTGTCCGAATTAGGCCGTCACACGATGGAAAAAAAAATGAGTAACCCATGCTGCACGCTAGCACGCCGACGCCGAGGGGGTACACGGAGGACATGATGAAGAACAAGCCGAGGGAGATAAACAAGGGGAATATGAAAAACAGCACGTACGAGACAACAGGGTATACCATACTGTGCAGACCCGTGCCGGCCACGCTCAGAGCAGAGGTCCTCAGCGGCCACGCTGCTCCGCCATCGCCTGCGCATCGTCCCAGCATTGCTTGTGGAGCTGAGTCTGGCCCCAGCGGTGGGGGGCGATCTTGAAGTCCTCTGTGTCCACCGCGCAGAGGTTGTCCAAGCTCTCCTTGAACGGCACGCTCGCGAGGCTCGAGATGGAGAGCTCCCAGGCCCACGCGCGGCCAGCCTTCGGGTCCGAGTGCCGAGGCTTGAAGCTCGCCACCCAGCGGTTGAGCGTCGCAATGGGCACTGACTTCAGCATCGCGATGCCGTTCCTGACGGGCTCCGGCTCCTCGTGCAGGGCACCCTCGAAGATCTTGAGCATGTTGGCGAACATCCAGACCCGCTACTCCCCGAGGTCGTGCGGCGCCATCGGGGCGGTCGGCTTGGACTCCGGCTTGCGGTCCACCCAGGTCTGGCCGATCTGCTTCAAGCGCTGCTGGCCCCCTCTCCCGCTTGACAATGACCGCCGCGTTCGTCGCGCAGGCCGTGGCCACTGCCTTCTCGGCCGTCTGGAGGCCCAACCGCAGCGTGCGCTCCAGCACCTCCGCGAGGCCGGCCTGGGACGTCTGCCGGTCCTCCGGGCATGGGCGCTTCTGCCTCCCGCCGCCCGCTGGCGCCGTGGAGCCTGCCGCTGCGCCCTCCTCCGCCTTGGCCAGAAGAGCGTTGATGTCCACGATGCCGGACGGTGCTCCGATCGATCAGCCGGTCTGTCGGGCAAGAAGTGCTCGAGCCAAGCCGGCGAATGACGTAGCGAGCATGTACGCGCGGGGAAACGCGTGCATGTGCATGTACAAAATGATGCTCTTGTACGTGGATAGTGATGTCTATGCCGATGAATGTACAAAATGATGCTCTTGTACGTGGAGACCATGAAGCCCTTGAACATGGTGCTATGATGCTCTTGTGCGTGGATAATGATGTCTATGCCGGTGAATGTACAAAATTATGCTCTTGTACGTGCAAAATGATGCTCTTGTACATGGTGATAATTGTGCCCGCGATGATGTCTATGCCGATGAACGTGCTGACAGTGTACAGAAAACAATTCGCTCAAAATGGTCCCTCCACCTTCCTCCGTGTGCAGTGTGCAATAAAATGATGAGCAGCATGATGAAGGAGGAAAAGGGGGACACTTGAACCACGAATCAGAATGGAAGTAGCCATCCCGCCTTCATTGCTGCAGCGCTCCAGGTTCGTTCTCCAGATCATGCCACTGTTCCAGTCGAGTCGAGAGCCCTGCTCGCCGCCCGCGCTTTTCGCACTGAACGCTGCGACGGCCAGCGCCTTTGGGAGTCAGGAGTCTGGTCCCGCAGTGTGGACAGGGATAGCCCGGTGCAGCGACTCCAAGTTGACAAACGCGTACACGCCATAACCAGCCGTCGTAAGGCATGTGGTCGCAGCCAGAGCGGTGCTTCATCCGAAGGCCGGACGTGTCGAAGCGCTTGTTGCAGAAAGGGCAGCTGGTCGCAGCGCGCCCCTCGGGCAGAGAAGGAGCAGGCAAGTCCGACGTGGTAACGGCCCAGGTAAGCTGAGCATCTGTAAGTCGACGTGCGAATTTCTTCCGCCGGTAGGCAGCCCTCACCTCAGTGGGGTTGAAGTTGGCACATAGGCGTACAGCTGCGCGGAGACCGTCGCCTGTCGGTGCTGGCGGCGGCGGCGGGGGTGGCGGGGCAGGCGCCGCTGGTGCTGCCTGCTTGCCCCCGAGGCGCCAGAAGGGCCCGGGGGCCGGGGGCGCCGCGGGAGCCGGCTGAGCTGCCGCGGGCTGCTGCGGCGGCGCCGGGCGGGCGCTGCGAGCACATCGCGCTGCGCGCTCCTCCTTCGTCAGATTACGGCGCACTTCAACATTTTGTCTCATTGCACGCAAGAAGAATTGCTTGGTGCAGCCTGGGGATCTACAAAGATATCGTCCGTCCGTGCCGCGAAGGCAGCCCAGTTCCGCTCTTGCCCGCTCTGCGGCCGCTACACGTCGTCCTTCGGTTGCGCCCTGCGCGTGCCGTTGCTGCCAAGTGTCCATGTCGCACGCCGTTTTCTGTGCAGTGGTCCACTTCCGGATCAAGGCCGTCCAAACAGCGCCGTCTTCTTGCCGTGCAGTCTCCCGCCAGCGGGTCTGCCACTCTGTGGAGGGCACGGAGGTGAACGCCATGAGCTCCTGGAGGCGTTGCCACAGCTGGTGGCGCGAGCACTCCGCCCATTTGTGCCCCGGGTGCGGGACCTCTTGTGGTAGCCACGCGAAGAGAAGCTTGCCCTCGGGCCTATCGTCCGGTAGCCGAGCCAAGCGCCCCAGGTAGCGGAGTTGCCCTTGCCCAATCTATGTGGCGACGCTAAGAAGACCGAGTCGGTTGTGCAGGTCCTGCTGGGTAATCTGCTGCTCTTCCATCAGGCTCAAACGTTGGCTCAAAGCGCCCCGAGCGACTCCGCTGAGAAACCGCTGCCACGTGGTCACAGTGCTCCGGCGGACAGAGCGGCTCTCGGAGGCAAAGAGCAACGCCCGGACAACGGCAGCCTGAATGAGCGAACCCACTACTTTCGGGGACAACCCGAACCGAGGAAGCTGTCGATGAAGTTTCTGCCAGACGCGCTTGGCGGCGGCCAGGCGGCGAGAATCGCCCTCGTCGTAGTGCCCGTCGTAAGAGAGCCATCCGCCAAGTGACCGCGCAGCTGCGACGGTGCCACCATCAGCCGCTTGGTCTTCGTCGGCTTGATGGTCTCGCCCCAGTCAGAAAGCGTGGACTGCAAGAGCTCCTCTAAGCGCGGGCGAACGCGTTCTCTGCACAGCATAGAGGTATCATCCGCGAACATGATGTTCAACAGCTGCAGCACCTCGATTTTCTGTCCCAGTCTCTGAAGAAGCCTGGACCAGGGAACTGTTGTACTGTTGACACGCCGATTGAATGCCCGGTCCGCCAAGGAATGCACCGTCACAAAGGCATCGGGATCCGCCGTCTGAAGACTCTGCGTCCTGCGAGCGAAGTCCTTCATGGCGGCGTCGTGGTACACCGTGTAACATCCGGGTGAAGTGCAGCAGCCCTCGCGGAATCCCACCTGCAGCTGATGCGCCTCCCCCAGGCCGGTCCGAGTCGCCATCTGATAGAATGTGCAATCATGAAGTCCGTGAAGCACCTGCAACAGAGCCGGAGGAAGACCCAAGCGTCCCAGAAGGTGGTAGGCAGCTTCCCTGTTCACCGAGGGAAGCGCCCTGCGGATGTCGAAGAACACCAGCGAGAGAACCTGTCCAAGATCCACCGCAGCCCCGGGGGCGTGGGCAACCTCTGCGGCCAGCTCCAGTACGACGCGGACCACAAACAGGGCATCTTGAACGCTTCTGTGTCGGCGGTTTCCGAATTGAAAATCGGATAATAGCTTATGATGTTCGGCGTAATTCATCACACGTGTGGCGACGATCCTGCCCAGGAGGCGAGAGATGATCGATGGCAGAACTATGGTGCGATAGTTGTCCAAGTCCGTTCGGGCACCTTCACCCTTGTATAGAATGATTCCCACGCCAGCCCGTAAAGAAGCCTCCCAATCTGTGGCGGGTGTAACCCAGAGATGGCACAGCAGCTGGTAGATCTCAGCACGAGCTCGTGGTCCTGCGTGGCGCAACATATTGGCGGTAACGCCGTCTTTGCCCGGCGCAGTCTCGCGAAGAGCCGCCAGCGCCGTGAAGAACTCCTCCCTGCTGGGGATGTGTCCCAAGGCGGGGCAGACCGGCCGCTCGGGGACCACAGCGTTGATGGTCTCCTGGCTGACATCCCCCTTTGCGACAGAGAGGGCAAGATTATGATCACGCAGCTGCTTGAGAGAGAACGGAGTGGCACCGGCGAAGTCCACTCCTGAGACGACGACCCCAAGAGACCGGAGGTGCACGTGGAAGCGACCCCAATCGTGGTGGTTCATCGCGATGTTCAGCTGGCTGACCACATTCTTGATGAAGCGCCATCGGGCCCTCCGTAAGAAATCTTTCCGCTTACGCTTGGCCTTCCGGAAGGCAACCAAGGCGGCCTGCTCTCCCTCGGTCTGCTGCGCCGTTCGTAAAGCCTCCCAGCACTGAGTCACCTCATGGTCGTGGAGCTCGAGCGCATCCTTGTCACGAGGAGTCAGAGGATCACCTGGGCGAGAACGAGGTCGTGGACCGGCCACTCTGTCGACCGCACCGCGGAGGAGCGCAGCCAAGTCGTCCCAGCTGACAGTGGGAGGACCAGGAGGTACGGGCGCCGTCTGCTCAAGCAGCGACGGGGAAGAGGGCACAGTCGTTTTGCCCACCACCCGTCGCCGAGGAAGATCCTGAATAATGCCATTCAATCCGCGAGTGGCCAACTGATCGGCAGCCTCGTTCCCTGGATTGCCCTCGCGTCCCTTCACCCACACGAAGTGCACCGAGATGCGAGCACGTACGCGAGCCAACAGCTTCTGAGCCCGGCGAATCAACGACCCGTTGGTCCAGGCCTGCCAGAGTCCCTGAGTAGATGAGGCTGCATACTCCGAATCATAGTGAATCACCAAACGAGTAAGCTGCGGTAGATGGTCCAGAGCATACAACAGGCACTTGACGATTGCACTGAGCTCCGCCGTGTTGTTCGTGTGCCGTCCAGCGCTCAAGAAAGCCGACCTCGCCTCTGAAGTCACGACCGGACCACAGTAATCAGAAGAGACGCCCGCCTTCCAGACCTGCAAACCCCAGCCGGCACGCGCAGGCGCCGTGACGACCCCCTGCTCGACAGTGGCGGGCTCAGCACCTCCATCAGTATAAGCGTGAAGAACATCGGGAGCGGTCTCAGTCCACCCTTCGTTCGGCTCGAAAGCTGGCTCAGCAGAGACACCAACTTGCTCAAGGCAGGAGTCCACCAGCGTCGCGTACCGGTCACGAGAGGCCTCCGCCTGCAAGGATGGGCCCTTGAGAACCTCAGCCTGGCAGCGCTCACGCCCATCAGCGGGAGGAGCTTGGCGCGCCCAGTTGCGATGCCTCTGGCCGCGGTCCCGGCGAGCAGTTGTCTTATCGGGAGTCGCCACATGGAGCGTTAATGTCTTGCCGAGGTGGTCGGCGACCCCCGCAAAGGTGTGCAGACCAGGCTGGACCCACCCGCGGAGGGCAGGAGTGAGAAGAAAGACGTCGAGTTCGTACCACTGGCCCGTCTGCGTGTGTCTCCACGTGCCTCGGTGACAACAAGGAAGCCAGCTATCAACATGTCGTAGCGTAGTTGTCTGCAAGAATTCCTTGAGAAGTCGACCTCCCGCCGTGGTAGGAGTGGAGAGGCCACGAGAACCAACTAAGCGACCATCGCCGTCCTCACTGCCGATGTGTGCATTGAAGTCGCCACCCCAGATCTGAGGACGATCCTGTTCGCGGAGCTGTCGTGAGAGAGCCGCTGCATGAGCATAGCGGTCCCGCTCGGGCCCTACCAGTGGGCCAGTCGGACTGTAATTACTGACGTACGAGACTGTGCGGTCGTGTGCGGTGATGGTGAGTGCCAGAAGCCGGTCGGAGTCGTCCCTCCAAACGGCAGCTCGGCCCTCCGCCTCCCAGAGAGCAGCCACGCAGTGTCGTAGGAGAAAGCCCACAGCACCTCGAGCGACCAGAACATACTCTTCGATGTAAGCGACGTGAAGTGTAAGATCACGATAATGAAGGCCAGACAGAAACAGTCTATCACTACGTTGTGAACGTGCAAGATGAATAAGATGACGTAGCTTACCAGCGGGCTGAATGAGATCCCACTGCAAGCCCTGCGAATTCATGAGAGAGATGCGAAGTGCACGAGAAGGAAGAAGATGACGAGAGATGCGATGGAGACGACGAACACGATCCCTGCGGCGGCCGCAGCGCTTTGTGCCACCTTCCACTGTACGCAACCACTGCGGGGCACACGGCTCGTTCCCCAGCTCCACAACGGGGTAACGGTTTCGCGACCCCGAAGAGTCGCCGGCACCAGGGCTCACCCCGCGAAACAAGCCCTGCAGCCGCAACGGGTACTCGTTGGCCGCAACCGCCGATTCAGTAGCGGCCTACCAGCACAGCCGGCGGAGCGGATCCCCTTCCAGGCATCGTGGAGCCCAGCACCCAGTGGAAGTGGAAGAACATCCCGATGATGGCCATCATGGGCAGGCGGCCGTAGGCCAGCTCCGCGTTCAGGGACCGCTTCATCTTCTCAGGGTCCGCGATGTCGTCCCCCTTGTGCACATTGAGGGCCCCGAGGTACGACTTTCCGAAGCCCGCCTCGGTTCTGCAGAGCTTGCCCGGAGGATCCGTGGGGTCCTGCCTGGCCGCGTGCTCGAGGGAGCCGTAGAACAGGAACATTTGACCCCAGTCGGCACCAGACGCCTTGCCCTGAGCGCTCAGGCCATTCGGAAGACCGTGGGCTTGCTCGGGGGGTCCGTGGGGTCCTGTGCAAGGCCGAGCGGGCTCCGGTAGCCGACGGGCGCCGGCACGCCCAACGCGTCATCGAAGGCGCGCGGCGGAGAGCCAGCAGCGCCACGGCCAGCTGCCACAGCCACCGACTGCGGCGGCAGCGGCCCGCCAGAGGCGGCCGCGGCGGCGGAGGCGGCGGCGGCCGCGGCGGGCGCGGCGTCACCGTCCTTCGTGAAGCCTGCGGGGTCACAGAAGCACACTGGCGCCTGCACGTCCATCTCGCTCTCGATGGCGCGAAGCGGGGAGCCCGTGTGCAGCGCCCAATCGCCCAACGCGCGGCCCGAGAGACCGTCATGGTGGGACATCCCGGTGATCGCCATTCTCGCCAGCCTTCCGTTGGCGATCTCGGCGTTCAGCATGCGGTACATGGACACATCGGCCGGGAAGGGGCTGCCGGTGGGCACGCCCAGGACGCCGCCGCACTCGAAGTCGCCGGGAGCCCTCGAGGCGGCCACGCCGCGGCCGGCCGCCGTGACGGCCGCGGCGGCGGCGGCGGCGGCGGCCGCCTCAGGACCAGCGTCACGATCAGTGGCCGCCGCCAGCGGCCCGTCAGGGGCGGCCGCGGCGGCGGCGGCGGCAGCGCCGTCCGCGGCAGGCGCAACGGCGGGCGCGGCGGCACCCGCGGCCGCGGCGGCCACGGCGGCGGCCGCCGCTCCCGCGGCGGCCGCGGCCGCCGCGGCCGGCCCCAGCGCAGCAACGCGCGCCACAGCGTCGGCGGCCGCGCCGGCCGCGCCGCGGCCGGCCGCCGCCACGGCCGCGGCGGCCGCGGCGGCGGCGGCGGCCGCAGCGGCGGCGCCGCCGGCCACGCCGAGGCCGCCAGGGGCCGTGCAAGGCAGAGGCGGCGGCCGGCCGGCCGGGCCGGCCGCTGCGGCGGCGCAGCTGGCGGCGGCGCGCCGCTGCCGCCGCCGCCGCGCCGAGCGCGACACCATGGCAGAGCGAGCGGGGGCGCGGAGGGGGGCGACCCCCTCGCACGCTCCCGCAGGCGGGGAGGCCGAGGACCGAGGGGCGGGGGCCCGGCCAGCCGCTGAGGCCCGCTTGAGCCAGCGGCTTGAGCCAGACGGCTACGGAGCTGGTGGGGTTACGCGAAGCGTCTAGAATGTCATTGGGCTGTGAGAAAAAAAGGCCTGCTGAACCTGACCGCGTAATCACAACACAAATGCGAGGCAGCTGCGCGATCATGGAAACGCAGGGAGGCCCGCAACAGGTGGAAGAGAAGAGTCCTCCGCCTCCTCCTCCTCCTCTTCCTCCTCGCCCGAGATCGGGTGTCTTGATTTTTAGATATGGAACTCCAGGGATTCTCGACCTTCCCCCCAAGGCTTGACGGTCCAGGGCCCGGCGAGGGCCCCCAGAGGCCGAAAGCGACGAACAAGCCTCCGCCTCGACTTCCCAAGAAGCTGGTTGCCCAGGTCCACCTTCCCCTCCTCCACCACCTCCCTCTCCCCCCTCTACCCTCCGACGACGTCTGAATCACGCAAATGCAATCTCGAGCGCCCGGGGCGTCGTCCCCGGCCGCCCTGCTCCGAGCCCGCGCCGCTCAGTACGGATTATAGCTGCGCTGGTAGCCTCCGCCGCTCTTGCCTCCGCCCTTGGAGTCGCCCTTGCCTCCACATGGGGGGCGGCGGGGCGGACAGGGGAAGAAGAGGAGGAGGAGGAAGAGGAGGAGGAGGACCAGCGGAAACCCAAGAGTCATCAACGATGTTGGAATAAAACCTCCCCCCAAGCTCCCTCTTCATAGGCCCCTACAACGGTTCACTTCCACTGAGGGAACTGCCTCGTTGGAAGACAACCGTTTGAAGACCATGCAGCATGCCCACACAGTGTTCTCGGCAATCCAATGCCACGGATCAACCTGACTGTTGCGTTTTGGCGATCGTGAACCGTGCCCGAACACCACTCCTGATATTTCAATACAACAAATCAGTGTAGCTGTTGCGCCCTCATAATCCTAAATCCTTCCAAGAAACACAATAATTGGCACGCTGATCATGTGAATCCGTGAAACTCTTGCATTGTGTTGCAACGAATGTGTGTGGGGCTCAAGCGAAAGCCACATTTTGAAAACAAGCCGCCCCCATTCCGTAAAACCCTTGCAAATATTTACTACGAGTGTGCGTGGCGCTGAAGCGAGAGCCACACTTTGAAAACGACCCGCACTCAATCCGCGAAGCTCTTCCACGTTTTTAAGACGGTATGCGCGGCGTTTAGGCGAGAACCACCTTTTGAAAACCACCCGCCCCCAATCCATGAAAGTCTTGTTTTTTACGACGAACGTGCGCGGCGCTAGGGCGAGAGCCATATTTTGAAAACCACCCGCCCTCAATCCGTGGAGAACCTGCAAATGTTTACAACGAACGCGCGCGGCGTTAAGGCGAGAGCTACACTTTGATAACCACCCGCCAGCAATCCGTGAAACTTTTGCACATTTGTAAAACTTCGGGGTCATGACTGGTGAGGAGGTCTGGGGCGAAGCGCCCGACCCGACCTAAAAACTGGCCTCGGGGTGCGACAGGGAAAAACCATTTATAAGGAAAAAGAATGGAGGAGGGCACCCTTGCCTTTGGGCACTCCATTCACCTCCATTCTGGCTCCCTGCTCTCATCCCTCCCTCCTCCCTCCCCTCCTCTCCCGCTCCTCCCTCCTGCTCCCCTCCTCTCCTTCCCTCCCTCCTGCTCCCCTCCTCTCCTCTCTCCCTCCTCCCTCCCTCCTCCCTCCCTCCTCCCTCCCCTCCCCTCCCCTCCTCCCTCCTGCTCCTCCCTCCCCTCCTCCCTCCTGCTCCTCCCTCCTCTCCTCCCTCCCGTCGCCCTTCTGCTTCTGCTCTCTCTGTGCCGTGCCTCCTCCTCCTCCTCCGCCTCCCGTCGGCCAGGCCGGGCCGCAAAGGCAGGGCGGGGGGAGCCACCGCCCGCATTGCCGTAGCCCCCGCCGCCGTAGCCGCCGCCGCCGTAGCCCCCGCCCCCGCCGCCGTAGCCCCCGCCGCCCTGCTTGGCGTAGTCCGAACCTGGCGCGGGGGCCCGCGGCACCCTCTCGCCTCGAACGCGCGTCGCGAGGGCGGAGGGGCCCCGGAGCGCCCACGCCCCGGACAGCGGACGTCGCGAGCCAAATCACGAGGGAAGGTTCGGGGAAGGCTTTTGGCCACTCTCGGCCTCCCAGGGGCCCTCGCGGGGCTCCAGGACGGGGCCAGGTCCCCCCGGAAGGAGACAGAGACCTCTGGGGGGTGGCACTGCGAAGAACTGTGGGGTCGGACGTCTGGGATCGTCGCCGCCGCCGCCGCCGTCGGCGTCGGCGTCGCCGCCGCGGCCGCTGAGGCGATCTCGGCCTCGGGGGGCCCATTTTTTGTCGAGCTCCCATTCGCCGTCGAAAGAGCGACCTCCTGGCCAGGGCGCGGGTCCCAGGGGGTCCCAGAACTCCGTCGTCGTCGTCGTCGTCGCCGCCGTCGTCGTCGTCGTCGTCGTCGTCGTCGTCGTCGTCGCCGTGTGCGTCGTCGTCGTCGTCGTCGTCGTCGTCGTTGTCGTCGTTGCATCGTCGTTGCGTCGTCGTCGTCGTCGCCGTCGTCGTCGTCGTCGTTGCGTCGTCGCCGCCGCAGCGGCCGCCGCCACCGCCAGGGCGATCTCGGCCTGCCAGCCCGGGCCCGTCTCTCGGCCCGTGGGACATCGAAGCACGCTGCCGCGGCAAAAGGGACCAGTCCTGGGGCGAGGGGTGCCACGCCCTCGGCGTACCCATCGACTGGAAGAACTACAATCACCAGGTATAGTAAGGATGCGCGATAAGGCTGCACGGGCCTTGTACGCCCATCTCGAAGCTTTTCGAGCGGGGCGCGGCCAGCGAAAGCGGCGAAGGCTGGACCGAGGAGGCAAGGATGCAAGGGTGCCCTTGGGAAGGTTGCCCACCCTTGCTATGCGGGTTGACTGTAGGCGGATTCAAGAAGCAGGAAGGCGTTGAAAGTAGATTGGGTGTCCGCCCGCCCTCTGTGGGAGGGGGGCAAAGGTGAAGCCACTCGATCCTTGAAGTAGGAAGGCGCTGAAAGTCGATTGGACTCTGGGACTCCAAAAATACCTACTTTCAACGACCGATGGGTAGGAGGAGGAGGAGGAGGAGGAGGAGGAGGAGGAGGAGGAGGAGGAGGAGGAGGAGGAGGAGGAGGAGGAGGAGGAGGAGGAGGAGGAGGGAGGAGGGAGGAGGGAGGAGAGGAGGAGGGAGGAGGCGGAAGGGTGCCACACCCTCGGCGTTGTGCCTCTTCCAGCTCGCCGCTCCCGGGCCTGGCCGCGTGACCTCGTGAGACCGACGCCAGAAGTTTCCGCCGCGGGGGCCGTGTCCCGAGGATCGCTCCCCTGAAGGGGCCCCAGGACACACAAATAAATGCACACAAATAAAATAATTCCCCATATTTTCCCATATTTTCTGGGTTCCTGTCTTCCCCCCCCCACTGCCCATATCTTCCCACATTTTCTGGGGAATCGAAGATTACTTGTGTCTGTGTGTTTTCTTCTCTCCTGCTCCCCCTCCTCCCTCCTCCTCCTCCTCCTCCTCCTCCTCCTCCTCCTCCTCCTCCTCCTCCTCTATCTCCTCCTCCTCCTCCTCCTCCTCCTCCTCCTCCTACTACTACTACTACTACTACTACTACTACTACTCCTCCCCCCCCCCTCCCGGCGGCGAGGCCTGGGCCCAGGGCGGCGCGCGGGAGCGCGCCCGGGCCGCCGGTGGGCGGAGGGTGGCGGGAACTTTGCACGTCCGTGTGGGGAGCGCTAGCCTTACCGTCGGGGCCTTGACCTTAAGGAACCCTAAATAAGGAACGAGGCCCCTTTTTTTCCATAAGTTAAACTTCGATTTCCCATGGAAACCCTAAGGACAACATTTTTTCCATAAGTTCAACTTCGATTTCCGATCGAAAGCCGAAGTAAAGCCTTGGGCAAGCTGCGAAACACTCAAGGAACACCCAGCCCCTTCCCAACAAAAAAGGATTCCTTCTTCAGGGCTCCGACTGTAGTTCGGGCCTGTCCCCCTAAAGGGGGCTTGTGGACGAAAGATAAAACATATTCAAGACATATCCCAAAGAAGCCCAGAAATACTACAACCCTCGTCAAAAATAAACTGAGGGATTCTGTTTTCGGTGATTGCATGGTCAGCGCTACTCCAATGCTGACGCTAGATATCTGACGTGGACGCAAGGGCTTCAAAAATCCGACGAACCCTCCGCAGCATTGAAGAACACAATTTTCAACAAGTGCCCGAGAAGATCGATCGTCGTGATTTCCAACTGCGTTTCTGTTTATTTTTGACGAGGCTTGTAGAAAAAATAGTCCCCAGACAATTTTTTGACCCTTTTGGAGGATTCCCCCACTGGAAAGGGAGGTCAATTCGAGGCCTTCGGGTTGGGTTGGGGTGGCTTGGTGGGTGGTGATTACCAGGCCCCGCCATCGAAGAACCCTTCTAGGCAGAGCCTAGGTAGGGAAAAAGTCCCCAGACTATTTTTGGACCATTTTGGAGCATTCCCCCTGTAGAGGGACATGCCCGCCTCTCAACACTGGCCTGGAAAATCGGCGAGGCGCCGCCGGCAGATCGGTGCTCGGCGCCTTACCCCTGACTACCTACCAGACCACCCCAACCCAACCCGAAGACCCCAATTTCGGGTTGGGGGGGGGGTACACCTTGCGAAATGCTTTAGAAATCATGGGTTAAGAAATTCATAGTCTCAGAATTTGAATAAAAACCCAACATTTCCATTAAAACCTTAAGATTCACATTGAAACGTCAAGAATCATCGAGATTCTGGCCGACAATGCAAGTTTTCTTAAGCATCGCCTAAGGTATACGGGTTCCATACGTGTTTCCTCGATGTTCCCCGACCCCCCCCCCCACTGGAAATGGAGGTCGGTCAATTTGAGGCCTTCGGGTTGGGTTGGGGTGGTTTTCGGGAGCGGCCAAGAGGGGGGTGTCCAGGAGGGGGGGGTGCAAATCATGACCGGCGGCATGTGCGCGGCCCAGCGGGGGGGCCAGGGACGTAAAGAAACAAGAAGAGGCGCCATGAGATCTGAGGAAAAATCATGGCCCCCGCCATGATCTCCCCCCCCCCCCCTAGTCATCACCCCCCTCTTTTCCGCCCCCGAGGTTTGGTGGGTGGTGATTACCAGGCCCCGCCATCGAAGAGGAACTCCCCCCCGAGCCAGCCATCCTCATCGCCTGCATCTTCGGGCCCTAGCCCGGCCCTCTGGCGGCGGGCCCGGCGTCGGACAGCGCCGAGCTGGGGCGTCGGATCGGGACGTGCGTCGCACTGTGAAGGGGCCCCAGGACACACAAATAAATACACACAAATAAAAAGATTCCCCATATTTTCCCATATTTTCTGGGTTTTTGTCTTCCCCCCACTTGCCATATTTTCGCATATTTTCTAGGGAATCGACGATTAATTGTGTCTGTGTGTTTTTTCCCCTCCTGACACTTGGCTGCATCGGAGCGAAGAGTCGAAGTCGGATCGGCTCGGCCGCGCACGGCTGCACCACGACGACTTGCGGGAAACGGGCCGGCCAGAATCGGTATCGAATCGGACCGACCGGCTCGAACTCGGCCCTGACGAGAGGAGGGGGGCCCAGAGCTTCCGCAGAGAAGGTGCTCGAAGCGCCCGCCCTTCCCAGAGCCTGCCTCTCCACCTCGCAGCTAGCTTCAGCACACCGCCGGCCCATCGGACGACCCTGGGGCTTTGCGCGCCTCCCCCCCACGCCTCCCTTGCAGCAGCAACGGCCAGCCCATCGCAGCCACGCAGATATTGCCGACCGAGCCTGATCGGAAGAGGGGCAAGCCAAGGCAGTGTGGTACGGTGAACCACCGCCGTAGCTGCCGCCCTGCTTGTTGTAGTCTGAACCTGTGAAGCGACGACCCATCGCACCCCGACAAGAATAGATGATTCCCTCTCCGGGCACATTGGCTTTTCAATGTATGCAACTTGCTGACGCGCCTGCGCTTTGCTGTTCCTCCCTGCTTCTTCCAAGGATCCCGACGGAGCGTGTATCCTCACCATTCAGAATGAGAGCCTTGCTCAACAATCCGTTAAGCACAACACGCGAGAGGCAAGATCGGTGGATAGGGAAGCAAAAAAAGATTAGTCCAACAAGGCGCACCGCCGCCATAGCTGCTGCCCCCTTTGCTGCCGTAGTCTGAGCCTGCGCAATCAAGGTTCGATGCTTCCCTGACTTCTCTCTCCTAAATTGTCCACTTCTTCCTGCGCTGCTTCAAAGGCGATGCAAATGACACATGCGCCCAGTGCGAACCATCTCTTGCTGCGCACGTTGAACATCTTACACGGTTCGGCCACATGCTGTGAGTCAAGATCAAGTCGCGGTATACGTAGGTGGGAAGGGGAAAAACATCGGTGGGAAGAATCAACGACACACTATTGCACGCATCGCGACACAATCAACCACATCCGCCCCGACACCACTGATCTGCAGATTGGAACCAGACCCCGATCCACCTGAACTCCGACATGCACTGGCTCTTGCGAGACAATGCCAGACATCTGGCGGCTCGATTTCTCGAGACGTGAACCCCCAAACCTCTCGATACCTTCACGGGGGCCAGTTTCAAATCCTGGGTCGTTGTGTTACTATTGTCCAGGGGCGCGAAAACGGCCCCCGAAGGCCCAACATAGGGCAATGCCGACCGTTCCGATCTGTTCGAGCCGTCGGACGTCTGGGATGAAAAGGAAGGTCCCCAGAACCCTTTTCGTAGAATGCGTTTTTTCTTTTAGTCGACTTTGCCAGAGGTGTTCCGCGGGACTGCGTGCAGGAGCGCCAGTGACGATGGTGGTTCGAGGATCAAGGATGAGCGGGGAGAAGGATGATCGAGGATTGGAATCCTGTGGCGAGCATCGAGGAATATTGAAAGGGGAAGCATCATAAACCCTGGCCATGTGAGGCACTAAGAACCCATGCGCAAACGATTACAGATCTAAGCAATGCAACATGAAGAACCAACGTGTGTATACAAATGCGTCTATCTGAATGTATATACAGTCGGAAACTTTTGCTTGACGTCTCGCGGCGGTGGCCCACAACGACACGCTATGCCATGCGAGCAAATAGCGTGCCGTTCCGCTCCGCGGGAGGCTGGGAAAAGCTCGGGACGTTAAAGATCGGGGGCCGCGACGTGGATAGCGTGTAACGCCAAAGCGTTGTGGGACAGAATCGACGACGCGACACGCTAAACCAAAACACCTGACCGTACATACGTCTGCTGTATATATATATATATATATATAGATGTATATATGTATGGTTGCCCTACCTCCAAGAACATACCTCTCTCTATTTCTCCGTTCCTTCTCTTCCTCCTTCTCCGTTCCTACTCTTCCTCCTTTCCCTTTCCTCCTTCTCCAGGCACACTTCCTTCTCTTCCTCCTCGCCCATTATCCTTCTCCTCCTTCTCCTTTCCGTTTCCTCCTCTGTAGCAGCACAGAATACACAGTGTTTGGCGCCCTGGGAGCAAGGAAACGCTGTGTATGTTTGATTGTTCTGTTTTCTGGTCTAGGATACAAGGAAGCATGGTGTATGTTTGGTTATTTTGTTTTTTGTTGGGTTTGGAAGCTCAAGTGCTCCCCGCCCCCCCTCCCAGTACCTCCTCCTTCTTCCCCTTCCTCTTTCCCCCTCCTTCTCCTCCTTTCTTTTCCTCCTCCTTGTTACAAAGCAAGAAAACCAAGACTACACCGTGTTTGGTGCCCAAGGTGCAAGGAAACGCTTTTTTTTGGGGGGGGGGGCGGGGGGGGGGCGGGGGTCTAGGATACAAGGAAACCTTTTTTGGGGGGGTTTTGGAGCGCTGGAAGAGGTTCACTGCCCATAAAGGGAAAAGTCCAGGGGAGAGAGGACAAGAAAGACTGGGGCGGGTGCCCATCAAAGGAGAACTTTTTGTTCCCAGGCAAGGGATGACCAGCCCTGCCTGGGCCCACCGACAGGGCACCCGTCCCCAAAAACAGCAACATCTGTCTCAGCCTTCAGCCTCAGGCTCGGCTCCTGCCGCCCTTTTGGCCTGGGCCTCGGCCCGGTCCGCAAGGACCTTCTGACCGAGCTCCTCGGCCTCAGCTCTGTCGTGAAACCCGAAAGCGAGCAGCACGGAAGCAAGCCCGAGTCTGGGAGCCACGGGCTGCTTCGAAAAAGGGACCACCCTCGGAGCTGCGTGCATGATCTGGTCTCCACCGTGGTCCAGTCCGAAGTGCCTCGAGAACCGCGCTCGAGTGACCTCCGCTGGAGCCTCACAAGGGCCAAGCGGCACGAGGGGGAACTCAGTCGGATGATGTTCATCCTGCAGCCTCTTGCGCACTGTATACGCCGAACCACCTTTGATCGGCCTTGTGCCCTTGCGCTGGCCCTTGAGGCCCCGCTGCATCGGAGTATTAGCATACTGCCAACACGAAGGGCAAAAAAAAATGGGCTCATCACCAGGCACAGCACACTGAACTATACAGTGCTGGTTAACCCTCCAAGGGCGCACGCCACGGCTGACAATCCACTCTGGGTCTCCTGAGGCTGCGCCCGAGGGGAGATCAATGGCAGTAGCAGCAGCAGGAGGCTCAACAGGAGGAGGGGCGAGAGGATCGTGAATCGGGTCCGCCTCAGGGAACTCTTCCACAAAATGCCCGGGGGGGCAAGTCCCCACATCGACCGTCTTCAAAAAATCGACACCGAGATTATCTCGCGTCTCCGAAGCTCCCATCGCGGCCGAGAGGCGAGCCGAAAACTTGCAAGCCAATCGGGCTATAAAATGGCATCCTTCCAACATGTGCACATCAGCTTGCGAAGACCTGCCGAAAGCCGCTCCTTTCTTTCAAATCGATCCGCCGCGGAGTTGCCATCCCGGTCGAACTCCGAGATTCGATCGCGCTCCACGTCTGAACCGGTAGCGTGGGCTTTGACGTGGTCAAACGGGCGATTCACGAAATCCTCCCTGCTATGAACTCTGCGCCACAAATGAGCGCGTGGGTTGCACGGGCTGGTGGACATTTCCACCGAACGGCAACAACTGAGCGTGCTCTTGCAGTCGGCGCGCAAAGCATATCTACCCAATACGTGTTGGGAACACATCAAGACAGCGTAATCCTCCCCGTCCTGGGCCGTGCCCGACACTCCAAATTCAGGGGGAACCCGCCCGAACAATGCTCCGACGTATCTGCGCTCGGCATCGTAAAGCACCACTGCCCAGCCCGCAACCCGCAGCGACGGGTGGAGCTGATCCAACCCCGAGCCGTCAGTGGAGCGCTGGAAGAGGAGGAGGAGGAGGAGGAGGAGGAGGAGGAGGAGGAGGTGCTAGGGGGAGGCAGCGGGGAGCACTTGAGCTTCCAAACCCCCAAACAACAAAATAACCAACCATACACCATGCTTCCTTGCATCGTAGACCAATAAAAACCAGAACAACCAAACATACACAGCGTTTCCTTGCTCCGCAACTCTTTTTTTTCTTGCTTTGCAACAAGGAGGAGGGGAGGAAAGGAGGAGAAAAAGGGGGAAAGAGGGAAGGAGAGATGGAGGCGGCGCTGGGGGGTGAGGCCGCGGAGAGCATTTGAGCTTCCCGAACCCACCAAAAACCCACATAAGCAAACATACGCAGTGTTTCTTGGCATCCTATACCAAAGAACCAGAACAACCAAACATACACAGCGTTTCCTTGCTCCGAGGGCGCCAAACACTGTGTATTCTTGGTTCTCTTGCTTTGCAACAAGGAGGAGGGGAGGAAAGGAGGAGAAAGAGGGGGAAAGAGGAAGGGGGAGAAGGAGGAGGTGCTGGGGGGGAGGCCGCGGGGAGCACTTCAGCTTCCCAAACAAAAAAACATACACAATGTTTCCTTGCATCCTAGACCCCCCCCCCAAAAAAGAACAGCCAAACATACACAGCGTGTCCTTGCTCCGAGGGCGCCAAACACTGTGTATTCTTGGTTTCGCGTTGCTACAGAGAGGAGGAAGCGGAAAGGAGAAGGAGGATAATGATGATGGGGGAGGAGACGGAGGAATTGTGCCTGGCGAAGGAGGAAAGGGAAAGGAGGAAGAGTAGGAACGGAGAAGGAGGAAGAGAAGGAACGGAGAAGCAGAGAGAGATATGATCTTGGAGGGGGGCGACCATATATTTTATATGTAGTCATATATATATAGAGATATCAACAGATGTGCGGACCCCAACACTCCATCCTCTCATTTGTGCTCGTTCCGCGCGTTCTCCCTTTCCTCCTTTGCTTCATCTTGGTACACCTTAGGACCCACACAAGGATTCAATAGGAAATGGTAAGGAAAATGGGGAGGCAATGCTCGATTCGACTTGTATAAGATTCACCAATAAGGATTTACTTGGAATTGGTGAAGACGAAGGGGAGGCAGGATTCGATTAGTATTGAACAGAACTCATAGAATTAATTCAATGAGACAGGGCGGAGAGAAGGATGGGGGGAGGATTCTACGGGATTTGAATGGAATCCAGATGGGAGCCCACTAAGAAAGGAACGTGAAGAAGAAAGGGATGGGAAAAGGAGGATGGGGGAGGAAGATAACCAATTCGATTAGGATTGCATCTGATTCAACAAACGATTCAACCGGACAGGGCGAGGAGGAGGGGGAGGGAGGATTCGACTGGATTTGATTGGGACCCACAAGGAGCCCAATAAGAAAGGTAATGGAAGAAAAGGGGAAAGGAGGATGAGGAGAGACAGAACAATTTCATAGGGTCTTAGCAAAATCACATAGACACAAATTATTCGGTGGATTCCCAAACCTTTGATAACACAGAGCTCTATATTTCCAATCTAAGAATGCCTGTGTGCTGATATGGACAATGCGATAGCGCCGTCTGCAACCAAAAAAACACAAGGGCTTGAGCCCATCAAGTGGGACTTCGATGCTAAAACGCAAGATTCATAGAACACATGGTATTGCCATACGAAAGCATGTCTCACCCCTCGGAGCCCGTGAACACCCTGGTTGTTCTGTTCCTGGCCCCAGGAAGCCATGCAATACATCGATATATATATATATATATACATCTATATATACATAGATCTGTATATACATGCTCTTCTTCTTTTGACAGATGCGAAACGCTGCTATACACTTGATTTGTCTTCCTTGTCCTTTTTTTCAGGCCCCGCAAATTTTGTCGAGTCGACAGTCAACGCCGTCTGGCTTGCA